TTGTAATAATCAAAACGAGACGTCACCCATATGTCAACAAATATGAATTTTTAGAACTAGTGTTTCGTTTAATTAAAGTTGATTCACATAGAGATATGTAATTGAATTAGTTAAATATGCTCAATAAGAACTTGAAATGGGTAAATTGAATACAATAAAAGAATTCGATCAAACACTACATTAGGTTATGAATCTTAAATTAAGAATAAATGTGATCAATAGATGAAATTGTTATGCCATAATATTTATTACATATTTGAATTTTCAATTATCCATTGTTTGCAATTGTTTTATATTTTCAATTAGTTAATAGTAGTTAAGAAAAATAATCAAAACCATCATAATTATTTACTCGTTTTTGTCAAATAGGAGTTAGAAAAATTAGATTAAGTCCTAAAATATATTTTTCGTGGGAACGATATTCGAACTCAAGGGTTCAAATGTTCAATATCAGTTGCAATATAAAAAATGCAACAATACAGCTGCAATGTCATTCATTTCAGTGTTTCTCTTAACAACTCTCAATTTCTTGAACCATGCGAACTCACTATTCTTGAGATAGACACGCTTAGCTTGTTGATAATAGAAGCTCATCCCCACTTCACAATTATTAACAGAGATTAGCGGCCTCTTTTCTCCAACGTGTCACATCACTTTGTAGTTTCATGTTGGTGGGATAATCTTGTTGCTCCAATTGTGCCAATTTCAACACCCTAGTAGCATTTTCAGCCCTTGAGGAAATATGTGTGAAAGTGCTTGTCATTGAGCTTCTTTAGGTCCCTTTGAGCTTTTTTAACTTTTTACAAAGTATGAATTGCTTCGTGCCACAGATATCATGATTCCAACAATCACGTACCAAATCATGAAAGTTTTCATGTTTAGTCCTCATATTGAAGAACCTAAACGGTTTACTCATATTCCCATCTTGCTTAAGAAGTGAAACAATGCAAGGCGAGTGATTGAAAAGGCATCCCGACGACAAAAAAAATCAGCATGGCTATTAATTCCCGTTTGCACCCAAACATCATTAATCATGGCTCTATCAAGTTCACTCCAAACCGAATTATTAGTTCAAGTGTAGAAGCACCCAATGGATCTCAAATCCATAAGTCCAACATTTAAGCAGAGATTTTCAAAATCTCTCACTTCATATGGGGTAACATCCGCTCCATTGCAATTTTCATCAAATTTAAGAGCATTGTTAAAATCCCCCATAATCAACCAAGATAAAGAACAATCCAATCCAAACTCCGTTATGTTGTTCCATAATGGCATGCGATTTACAATAGCATGGAAAGCACAGACAAAGCTAACAAGAAATGTAAGTGAAGATACCTTACAAGTAGCGTTGCAATGGATGACTCGCGGTGTAGTCTCCAAAACCTCCAAGTCAACTTTTATAGGATTCCACAAAATTAAAATTCAGCTTGCTCGATGAACAGAGATGTTGTTGGCTTGCAATAAACCACCAAATTTATTTCTCGTAATCCGGTCTAATTTTGGCTCCCCCAACTTTGTCATTGTGTATTGCTTGTGTAATGCAACAGGACTTTGATTATAACCAGACCGATTTGGTTTTAGTCTTCTTAGTTGTCCTATAATTCCAACATATAATAATTTTACAACTCGACGAAAAATGTACACAACGGTTTCAATTTAAAAATTGAACAATTGTTGCCTCCCGGGGCACATCCGAGTTGGCAAAGGACGGGCATTGCTGGGTTTGCAATCTTAGGGTGGAGAGTTCGATTCCTGGATGGAGCAGCTGAGTGTTGTAATACTCAATTTGGGTAGAGCAACTTGGTGATGTAATATCCATAGAGGAAGGCTCCCGTGGGGTCAGGAGTATAAAGGGTGCACGGACCCTGGTCAACTTGGACATATCCCGCGGTTAACCTCCACCCATCACTGAGGGGCCGGGGATGGGTAGTCCAGGACATAATCTGGTGTAAGTTGGGATACCTGGATATAAAAAAAAACAAATTGAACAATTGTGTGGTCAGCTTCTTCAACATAAGGCAACATTCTTCTGGGTAATGAGAGGATTACCTTTTCTGGTCTTCAATCTTAGGTATCTTGGAATTATCCTCCCCTTTTTTCAGGGAATATTCCCTTTTCTAGGTGTCCGTAGATTTTATAAATAATGTTATTTAATATCATTAATGTAAAAATATTAATTTAGGTGGCATTAATACGATATTAAATGAAAAGTACAATTAAACGAGTTACTTAATTTCATATTCCATGTCGTATAATACCATCTAGACGGGTGTTGTAGCATCATTGATGCTAAATAATATTATTTTGATTTTATCGGATGAGTACACTGAATTTTACTAGAAATGATGCAATTCCCATTCGATAGAGATGTTCCTAATTCTCTTTTACTCTACATTTGTTACAAACAACTTCTTGTTGTTTAATACCATCAATTTAAAGATTCGGAGGATGATTGGCATTCTGTATTATCACAAGATTGAAGATTTGCATTCTGTTTAGTACCATCAATTATCCCATGTATGACTTTTTCCATCGTAATTGAAGATTTGGAGGATGATCGGCATTCTGTATAATCGCAAATCATGCTGCTTTACACTGCATTTGAGACACACGAGACAAGTCAAGATGTGTGGAAATGGAAAGATCATTTATCTCTTTATGCTTTATCAAAATTATAAACTATAAATTGTGACTTAAAAAAAAAAAAAAACCTCCCTGTTTCCCTTTACAACAAAGAGTTGTGCTACAAGTATATTAAGGTATACATAAGGGTGTCCATAATGGACATCCGTCACTCCCCTATTGGATGGAGTGGAGGGCTCCGGGTGTCCATTATGGACACCCTTATGTACTCCCTAATGTACACTTAGGCTTTGTATGAGAGAGATTAAAATCGGATTAAAATTGAAAATATAGTCGTTATTGTTCACTTTTATTAAGGGTGTCCATTATGGACACCCGTATGTAGTCCCTAATGTACACTTAGGCCTTGTATGGGAGGGATTAAAATTGAAAATATAGCCGTTATTGTTGACTTTTATTAGACAAGTGAGACCCAATAACGGTCATATTTTCAATTTTAATTGGCTTTTAATCCCTCCGAATGGGACCTTAGCATTTTCCTGCAATAAAGTCATTTGTACAACAATGGTTTTGCCAGAAAGTCACCAGACTACTCACAATGTGGGGGGCCCACCTTGTATTTAAAAAAAATAATTGCGGACGCTACCTCGTGTGTGTGTTCAGTTGGTCTTTCGTGACTTTTGCTTCTGCACGCGAAGCAAAGGTCCTCCCTTTAATGGTCAAAACATTATAAATCCTAAACGTGTCAAGCAAGACTCGAAATCTTAAATGTACAGCTACTCGGCGACTACGCACACCATATATATATAGAAGAAAAATATGACATGCATCGGTTTATCTATTTTTATTTATTTATTTTGAGCTTTCCGACCCTTTAGAAACCCTAGATCATACTGTTCTCTTGTTCGTTCGCATATTCCACGTCCGATCCCAATTCTAAATCAATCTTACACAAGTGAACAAAGGCGATGGGTGATAGCTGTGCGCTGTGTGCGGAGGTGTTGGAATGGGTGGCGTACGGGGAGTGCGGCCATAAGGATGTCTGCTCAACTTGCACACAAGTGAACAAAGGCGATGGACGATAGCTGTGCGGTGTGTGCGGAGGTGTTGGAATGGGTGGCGTACGGGGAGTGCGGCCACAAGGATGTCTGCTCAACTTGCGTCGCTCGCCTCCGATTCATCTGCGACGATCGCCGCTGCTGTATTTGCAAGACCGCGTCAAACGTCGTCTTTGTCACCAAGGTGAACAAACAGTATTGCTTTATTGATTTGCGTTCTTGCTTCAATTTTTGTAAATTGTTTGAATTCAAATATCGGATTGATAAAATTAGGATTTCTTAATGCATTATAGTGTAAAAATTGGGGCATCACGACAATTTTATTGAAATGAATTGAAAATAATATCTTACCTAGTTTAGAAACTGGAAAAATGGTTGTTGATTAATTGAAGATTTTGGAATGATTGATGATAACTAAATAAATTTTCTGGTTTTTCTTGGGTGCAATTAGGCTCTAGGAGATTACACCAATGCGATAAGCGACTTTTCAGTATTTCCATCAGAAGTGAAAGAGGGTAGAGTGGGGAAATACTGGTACCATGAGGACACACAGGCATTTTTTGACGACTCGGATCACTACAAGATGATCAAGGCCATGTGCAGGCTTTCTTGCAGTGTGTGTGATGATAATGAGGGACAGACTGAGGATGGAACCAGGAGAAAGCCAAAGTTTAGGAACATTGAGCATCTTAAAAGTCACTTGTTTCATAAGCATAAGCTAATCATGTGCAGCTTGTGCTTGGAAGGACGGAAGGTATTTTTTTTTCCTGTCTACTTTGTTCCGCTGATTTATTCGTTGTAGTAGTTTTTCCTGCATTGTAAGAATACTTTGTTACTATGCAGATTATTTTATTTAGTGCTTTTGATATTTTGTCTAGATCTCTAAAAATTGTATAAATGTAGATCTAAAACTGGGGACTCTTTTTCTTATGATAAAGGAATGAAATTTAAGTTCAATTTCTATGTTTAGCTTCACCATTGATGTTTGAGCGAATCTGACCTTCTGTAATTGGAAAATGTATCGAGTTTAGTAGTATCAATACTCAGATGCATATAATGCTGGAAATATATAGTACAAATTAGCTTGTGTGATCATAAAGTAATTTCCACATTAGATGTTCGCATAGATTGATCAACGGCCACAATTGGAGGCAGATAAAAAGTGGAACTCTCACACAATAATAGAATTTGCCAGATAACTATCAGAAACTGATAGTTTACTTTTCCGGCTATACACAAGGACATCAGCTCAATGGCCTCAGTTCTTGAAACTTAGTAAAGAGGGATTATCGTGACTATATTCTGATTGAAGTGCTGCTGACTGTAGCTCTCTGCATGTGATTGTTCTGAGCTTCAATTTTTCGTTAGATGCTGTTTATCCCCATTGTTTTTTTCTGAATAAACCCTTAATCCTGCAGTTTTCCTCATAACTATGTCACTTCATTATAAGTATGGCCTGACAATCTGCTTTTGATTCAATCAGGTTTTTATTTGTGAGCAAAAGTTATACACTAGAGCACAACTGAATCAGCATATAAAGACTGGTGATTCTGAGGTGGATGGAACTGAAAGTGAAAGAGGTGGTTTCATGGGGCATCCTATGTGTGAATTCTGCAGGACCCCTTTTTACGGAGATAATGAGCTGTACACACACATGTCCACTGAACATTACACCTGTCATATTTGCCAAAGGTGATTTCTGGTTTACTTAGAAGTACTATAAATTATATAGAATTCATTGGTATTTTACACTGTCTTTTGCAGGCAGAATCCTGGACAATTTGAGTATTACAAGAATTACGATGACTTGGAGGTTAGAGCTTACCACATGACAGTTTCAAATCTTCATAATTGCTTCCTTAATTTGTTTATCTGAAAGGAATTTTCTTTTTCTTCTTCAGGTGCACTTCCGCCGAGATCATTTCTTGTGTGAAGATGAGGCATGCCTCGCCAAAAAGTTCACTGTCTTCCAATCTGAACCTGAATTGAAGGTCAGCAAATTGAGCAAACCCATTTTTGTTAATGAATATGCATGAAGATTACTTTGTTAGTTTTTTCAGCCTTGCATGGACAAGGAACTCTGTAATCAATCTAGTATTCTTCATATTTCTGGTGTATAGCAATTGCTTGATTATTTTGCTTGTTCGATTTTCAGAAGCACAACGCTTTGGAGCATGGAGGTCGTATGTCACGTTCACAACGCAGTGCTGCTCTTCAGGTGGTTCATCCAACTTTATTGCCCCTCTCACCCCCCTTTGGTCTAATTAATAACTGCTACTACTGCATTATTCATTGCGAGCTAGCCCCTTTCATTGAATGACTTATCTTTCATTTTTCTCTTGATTTCTGAGTACTCATATATGCCATCTTGTTTATTCTTTGAGCAGATACCTATCAGTTTTCGATATCGGCGTAGTGAACAAGAAAATCGCCGTGGAAGGGGACGAATGTTCCACCGTGATACTTCTGATAGTGAACTCTCAATGGCAATCCAAGCAAGTCTTCAGACAGCCAGTTCAGATGGTAGATTTCATGTCTCACCGTCTAGTTCCAATGGAGTTACTGGTCATGGAGACATTAGTGATGTCGAGTCACTTATTCCACCTCTTGAATCGTTAGCTACGACAGATGCTGAGCCAACTTCAAGATACCTTCAAGCTGTGTCACAGAATGCAAGAAATTCAACACTCAAAGAGTCTTTGTTTCCTCCACTCTCAGTGGCTCCAGGAGGTAGTCAACGAGATTCTCAACCGGATAATTTACCAAAGAACACTATGGCTGCACGACTCCGACGCCAGAGCAATAGAAAAGTTGATGCCTCTAGTTCTGCTGTGGCCTGGCCAGCTTCAAGCCGTATGCCTGCCCGACCAGCTACTACTTCAAATGCATGGCCCGCGATAAATACTGCTTCCGGGTCAGCATCTAGCTCTGGCCAGTCTAAACTAGCACCAGCACTTGCAAAATCAACAATTAATCCTCATGCACGGCCTGCAATAAATACTGCTTCTGGGTCAGCATCTATCTCTGGCCAGTCTAAACGTGCAACAGAAAATAGAGCTGTTCTATCTAGTTATCCAAGTTCTGCTCAAGCTCAACCCTCGTCAATTCACGATTCATCATTTGCGGGTTCTTTAAGTTCTTCCAGGAATAGTGGAAACACTGGTCGGATCAGTGATTCCTCATCAGCGCCTAATCTTTCTCAGAGTGGATCTTTTGACTCTTCAAATTCTGATTTTCCTCCAGTTTCTGTAGCGCACACTAGCCAGCAACCTGCCGGTGACCAAGTTGTTTTGAAGGTGGAAGATGTTCACAGTGCAAACAAATCTTTGGTTGAGAAAATGCATTCTGCTCTAGGGTTTGACGAAGAGAAATACACTGCTTTTAAAAAGATATCTAGTGAATTTCGTCAAGGTTTAATGGACACAGAAACATATCTAGCATGTATCGAGCAGTTTGGTTTGTCGCATCTTGTCCTGGACTTGACTAGACTCCTTCCGGATGCTCGGAAGCAGAGAGAGCTGATTGATACTTACAATGCTAATATGAAATACAATGCTTCAAGAGAGAATGGTTATAGTAGTGGTATTAGCTTGAAAGATGGTAGTAGTTCTAAGAAAGCTAAAGGCAAAGCTTTAGATTCTGGAAACTGCATTTCGAAAAATAACTTAGCAGATCACTTTGTTAGCACTGTAAAAGAACTGCAGAGCTACAAGCCTTCAGAAGAAGACGTGGAAGTGTTATCTAAGGATGGGTATCGAGCTCCAAAAGGCAAATCAAAGGTGGTGGTCAACAATTCACGAGCTGAATTGAGTGGATCAAATGAATCTTTAAAGCTGAAAAGCCAGAATGACTCTTTGTCAGCTGGCGATGATTCCAATCAAAATTCCGGAAATGGTAATGAAAAAGGTAAACAAAGGAAGAAAACCTCGAAGTTTCACCGAATCCGCCTAGGTAATAGCTCTGCCGAAGCATTCTTGGATCTTAAAAATTTGGATCCGGATTCAGATTCTGACTCAAATCAGAAAAAGGCAGCTTCAGAGGAGCTTACTACGGAAGGTTTGCCTGTGCGTGGTGTTTGGCGAAATGGTGGAGGTCAGAAGCTTATGGCAGTTACTTCGAAAGGGCCGAAAATTTGATGCTAAAATTGGAAGTCTCCATCAGTTGGTTTGATGACTTGCTAAGTTGAGCTAGCTTTTCTGATGAATTGCTTTCGCAGTAATTTGAAGTCCAAGATAAAACAGTTTTTGCCGAATGCAGCCAGGTTTTCGGTTTTGATCAAGGTCCATATTGTTGTTATCTGTTTCATATAATTGTACTCTTTAATCTAAAGGTGCAGGGATGGTTGCCCTCGATTTATAGAATGACAATATCAATTCTAAGCTCTTTGTCAAACACTGAATTGTTGACTGTTTGAGCCACATTTTGATTCTAATGAGAATGAAAAATATAGTCGTTATTGGCCTCACACAAGAAGTAAAAATTCAAAATTGATGGCTTGATGTGATGTATAATGGTCATATTTTTCATTTTTATGTCTGAAAAATGAGAAACAAACGGAAGCTAAAATTCTCATTTTCATTTTTATGGATGAAAAATGAGAAACAAACAGAGGCTAAAATTTTCATTTTCATTCTTCTACTCATTTTCAACCACACATTCTTCAATAAAATAATATTTTCCATCCAATGTGCAATTTTAATTGTTGAGTATGAATCTAATGAAACTTGAACTGTTGGTACGTTGGAAATAAACATTCAATAAAATAATATTTTACATTCAATGTGCAATTTTAATTGTATATCACAATGAAACTTGAACCGTTGGTATGCTGGAAATAAACATCCAATGTGCAGTTTTAATTGTTAAGTTTGAATCTATTCCTGACTATCAATATCGGTTTGGACTCCAAAATATATAGTTAAACCTCATTAATCTTTCAGTACTCGATCTCGTGTTGCTCTTTCTTGTGAATACCATTACCGTTAACCAAAACAGGGTCTTAGCGTTATGCTCCAAAGATGAAAGAAATACCAATACAATTGGATACGTTGATCCAGTCAATTATGTACGTTGACTCGGTTACTTATATTGGAATTAAAAGAATATTCACTTTTTTTTTGTGTGGCAGAAACGCTGTTTGAGCCCTATTTTATTGTAAGAATGCATTTTGAAATAGTAGATTGATGGTGAATACGTGGTAGAAAATTAGGAAAAGTTTTGAATTTTCGTGTAATATTATTTTATTGGAGAATGTGTTGTTAAAAAGAAGAGAGAAAAAGATGTATATTAAAAATAATGAGGATGAAACAAGGGCTGAAATGTCAGCTAAAGCCTTTGAGCCCAAGCTAGAATTAGATTTCATTTTAACTAAGTCGTTTATTAATGAAAATTTGACTTCCTCAATTCTTCCAATTATTTAGCATTTCTAGTGAATCAATGAATATTTGATGGTCAAATTCTTGATATTCAACTGAATTTAAGAATGTGTGGAGTGTTAATCATCTCCTGCATCATCCTATAGTATTATTTTGGTACCGGAGTCGGTCACATTCCTGCTTTTTTTGTGGGACCCAAATAACGAAAATCACGTGATATGATGAGTTAACACAATCGCTTCTGCAAGTGATGTTGTTAGAATAACTGATAGAGATGGAACTACTGCATCAAAAAATGGAGGTGAAGCAATAGATGAAAGATTTTCTATCACGTTGACTTGACTATTGCAGAGGAGAAACGAAAGAGGACTCTGACGGCGACAGAAACATTTTGAGTCCCTTCCATCTCGATTTGTTGGGTATTGATTTACGTGAGAAATATGATGGCCCATCTATTTTTGACCAAGAGGTTGACGACAAGAATATTGGTGGTGCACCAATGTCAACAATACGTGATTATAGTATTGCAATTGATGATAGTTTCACCATTTAGCATATCATTCAAATTGAGAATGAGCAATGGGGAACTGTTATTGACAATTTAGGTAATTTAAAGGCACTAATGATTTTTTAAAGTTATGGGCTTACATTGCAATACTCGAAGGAGGTTCTTTATCTATTAAGATAGATATATCAACCAAGTTAACCATGTTGAAATTGGATGAGGATTATTAAAAGAGGAAATTACACATAGGCCTAGATTTAGATTTCCATTTTCACAAATCAGATCACTAGTTTAACATGTCAAAAATCAGGTTTTTTTATATCTAATTAATTAATTATTAAATTTCATCCCAATTAATAATCTCAAAATCAAACCTAATTCCATTATCCTCTAGTCCCATTCTTCTTTCCTCCCCGTAGCCGTCTTCTCTCTTTCCCTCGTCGGCGACGACGGCGACGGTGCTCGTGACCCCTCCTATATATACCGGCGACGACTTCTCTCCTCACGTCGCTGTCATCTCTCTTCCCCTACTGGC